ATCTCATTGAAACTTCACGACTTCCATGTAGAGAAGGAATTCTTAATCTCATTTTATAGATGAAGACACAGAGGCTTACAGGGGTTAAGGAACTTGTCTCAAGTCATAAAATAAATAAGCGGTTGAATCAGAAATCAAATTGAAATTTGTCTGATCCTAAAGACCATGCTTTTAACCCCTATTCTCTCTTGGACTCTAACACTACTTTTTCTTAGGAAAACACAGAAGTGATGACTAGTTGAATGCATTCTTATGAGACTCATAGTCATTCTATGATATAGGTTTCCTTAGGAGGACATTTTTTACATGAAATTATTAACATAATAAAATTGATCCTTGAACAACACAGGTTTGAGCTGCAAGGGTCCACTTACATGCAAATTTTTTCAATAACTATATGGGAAAATGTTTTTGGAGATTTGTGACAATTAGAAAAACCTTGCAGATGAACCATGTAGCCTAGAAATATAAGCAAATCTATTATAAAAAGTTAGAACTTATCGAAATATACACACACACACACAAACACAAACCGTACCTGATGCCATTTGCAGTTGAGAGAAATGTAAACGTAAAGGTGCAGTATTAAATCCTCACTGCACAAAATGAACTGTCGTACATACTGTACTACTGTAATAATTCCACAGCTACCTCCTGTTGCTATTGTGGTGAGCTCAAGTGCTGCAAGTATCTGCTTAAAACACCATGTGATGCTAATCATCTCCACGTGAACAGTTCGTCTCTCCAGTAAATTGTCTATGGCAGTTAAAAGTGATCTCTTGAGGTTCTCGTGTATTTTTCATCATGTTTAGTGCAATACCATAAACCTTGAATAACACCATGGGACTCTAACGAAGTGCCACTAGAGACGCTAGAAGTACTCCCAAGTATAAGAGAAAGTCATGACATTCTAAGAAAAGTTGAATTGCTTGATACGTACCATAGATTGAGGTGTGCAGCTGTGGTTACCCACCATTTCAGATAAATGACGTAAACTTATGGTATTGATAAATGCAGCATAGTTCTGCAAATGTATTTTCCCCTATGATTTTCTTAATAACATTTTCTTTTCTCTGGTTTTCTTTATTGAAAGAATACAGTATGTAATACAAAATATGTGTTGACTGACTGTTATCAGTAAGGTTTCTGGTCAACAGTAGGCTATTAGTAGTTACGTTTTGGGGGAGTTAAAAACTATACACAGATTTTTGACTGTACAGGGGGTCAACATCCATAATCCCCACGTAGTTCAAGGGTCAACTATATTCTAACAAGTATTATATATTTCCATTTGTTGTGTCCAAAGGGGGGACACAGCAGGTATCAAATGAATGAATGGGAGTCCTTGAGCCCAGAATTCTATATCAAAGCATGGAGATAATTTGTGGACAGACTAATGGCAGTGATCCTGAGGAATGACAAGTTCAAGAACACCAGGGAGAAAGCAGAAGAAGGCAGATTCTACAGAGCAGAAAGCTGTGAGCTTATCCAGCATGTAGAGCAAGACCCAGCCTTATTATTACTGAAGTGATGGTTAATGGGGCCCTATACCTACCAATCATCACTTCAGCACTGATCATTGCAATCCAGCACATACTCACTAAGGACAGTCATTTCAGAACAACCCACTGCCTTCTTTGACTGGGCTTGCAGAAACACCATGTGCAGCAGCAAGCAGCTGGAGCTGGGTGGTGGCCAGCCCTTCAGAAGAGGCTATGTGTTCTCCCATTCATCTATTTACAGCCCCTGGATTAGCTGACAGACTGAATGACAGAATCAGGACTGTACAGTGAAATATAACAGGGATGAAAATAAGATCTTGCACTTGGTTTCAAAAACCCAACTGAGTAAATCCAAGATAGGGAAGGGTGTGATTTAGGAGCAACAAATATAAAAATGTCTTTGAGTAAGCTGATAGCAAAGCTCAATGAGAGATCACAATGCGACGTAGCTGGCAGAAGAGCGAAAAGAAACCTTAGCTGCATTAAAAGAACATAGTGTCTGTGCTAGAATAAGGGGGGCGACAGTCCTAATCTGGGCTGGCTGATTTGCATTACAACTGTACTATGGTGACTTCCGGAGAGCTCACTTTGAGCCTGTCTGCTAACAGGCTGATCTGCTAGGTATTCTCCCTTTACCCTGTCCCTACTGTGATCTATTCTCTGCACTGCTCTGTGCCCTAAGGAAGCTGCCTCTATATATTGCATTATCCAGATCCCTTGCTCTGATGACTCCCCACTGGGTTCAGCACCAGTAGGAGATGCAAGGGCAAGAAGAGAGAGAACATGCAGAATGTGCATTTCTTGTGTCACTCTCCTTGCTCCGCCTGCCTATTTCTGGCAGTGGCTGCATCCCTCTATGACTAGAGTTCCTGTCCAGTAGCCCCTCATCCACAGCCCCAGCTTGTAATAGGTTTCACTTTGCTTCCCTTGTCCCTTCAGGCCTTGGAGTGGTAAGTGCTTCTTCCTGTTGCTAGCCCCTAGGGACCTCAGCACCCCTTCTTAGTTCCCTTAACCCTGCCCACAGCTTTGTCAATAGCCCCTTCACTAAATTATTTTCAAAATCTCAACTAAATTGGCCTTCTTTTTCCTGCAGCGACCCTGACTGAAACTAAACAGACAGGATACAAAGGGCCTTAAAATTACGTCTGTGAGGAATAGAGGATGTTGGACCTGGTGGAGAGAAGACTCTAGAAAGCAGGATAGCCTACATCAGCAAGGTATTAATAAAAGTCCACCTTGGACTCATTCTCTGGCTCCACCAAAAGCAGTAGGTATGGAGAGATAAATTTTGGGCTAAATATAAAGTAAACCTTTCTACAGAGTAGGTAAAGATGGTTCTCCTGGTAGGTCATGAGCTTCAATACAGTATTTCTCAGTTGCCCCATCTTAACCTGGATGAGCCTATGTCAGGAAGGCTGTGAGGAGGAAGTTAGAAATATGATCTAGAAAAGAGCTTTCCAAGCCAGGGTCTCATGATTTGCCACCAACTGTAACCTGCTCAATGGGTTACCAAAATAACCAAATTGTGAAGAAACTTTTGTATGTGTTTTGCTACTTCTTGTTTCAATCTAGGGAACAGAAGTCTGGTTCTTCATCAAGTCTGATAATCCTCAACACTGAAGATGCTTTTATACTTTTAGCTAATTTACAAACATAACACATTTTACACATCATCACAGCTTTCAAAAGGTTATTACCAATTCACGGAGCAATCTATTAAAAACATTTTTTAGGGGAGAAGAGAAGTTGATTAATGGTTACAAATATACCATTTGATAGAAAAAATAAGACCTAGTGTTAGTCTGGTAAAATAACTACAGTTTATAATAACCTATTGTATATTTCAAAATATCTAGAATTCCAATGATCCAGCACAGAGAAAAGACAAATATTTAAGGTGATGGATATCCCAAGCACACTGATTTTGTCAGAGGCATGTGAACCAGAGCAACTCCATCTTGAATGGGGCTAGGTAAAATAAGGCTGAGTGAGACCTACTGGGCTGCATTCCCAAAAGGTTAAGCCATTCTAACTTACAGGATGAGATAGGATGTCAGCACAAGATACAGGTCATAAAGACCTTGCTGATAAAACAGGTTGCAGTAAAGAAGCCGGCTAAAACCCACCAAAACCACAAAGACGATGAGAGTGACCTCTGGGCCTTCTCACTGCTACTACACTCCCACCAGCGCCATGACAGTTTACAAATGCCCGATACGGTCTAAAAAGAGGAGGCATGAATAATCCACCCCTTGTTTAGCACATCATCAAGAAATAACCATAAAAATGGGCAACCAGGAGCCCTGGGGGCTGCTCCAACTATGGAGTAACAATTCTTTTATTCCTCTACTTTCTTAACAAACTTGCTTTCACTTTACTGTATGGACTTATCCTGAATTCTTTGTTGCGTGAGATCCAAGAACCCTCTCCTGGGGTCTGAATCGGGACCCCTTTCCTGTAACAATTCGATCTTTACAAATTAAATTATCACATGTGCCCAAAAACTATGTACATCATACATCAATTAAAAAAAGTTTAAAATAAAATTGTTTAACTCAACTTCTATCTCAAGCACCACTGTGCTTGAGAACTGCCACCTCAGTTTTCAAACCAAAAACCAGGATGCAAAATCTGCTCCTGGGGAAAAAATATTCTATGTGCAAACCACTCTGGGGGGAAAAAAAAAAAAAAAGTACAAGGTCTCCTCAATTCACCCTGGTGGGGAGCGGCGAGGGGGAAGGTTTTTGCAAAAGCCCTGAATGCTTGAGTTCACAGCAGGGTCGAGGCCCATGGCTATGTTTGTGTACCTCGCAAGTTTTCTCCTTGGGTGGGAGTTTACTATGTATTATTACACCGAAGGTACTCTAGGTTTGCCAATTTTCCGCTCATTCATTCAACAAACACTCGATGTCCACCTACTCCCATTAACAGAGCCCTTCTCGGCCCTCGGGATGGACAAAAGATCCGAAGAGGCCAACACTGCGACGCCGCTGCCAGAGGACGTCAGCAGGTCCAGGAAACGACCTGATTTTAAGGACCAATGAAGGCAACGAGTGAGAGTGACGGCGCCCAGGAAAGTTGCGGCGGAAACTTGGGAAATGCCAGCCTTCGGGCGCAGAGGGCGGGGCAGGGCCTATAGAACCGCGCCGCCTGCGGGCTGGGGCCCGGCCTGGGCTCGGGTCCCGCCGCCTCCGGCCGCCACACGGCGCCCGCCCACGGCCCGGCGGGGGCGTCGGCCTGGTTCCCGGCCCAGGAAGCCGGCGCCCGGACCGCAGCGAGCGGGCGGGAAGGCCCCGATAACCCGCAAGCCCCGGGCTCGATGGGGTGCGCGCGTCGCTCCTGCCCGACGTGCCCGGGAAGCGCGCGCACGCATTGCCGCGCGCCCCACCGCGCCGGGCACCCGCGTCGCGCACCCGCCCGGCCCCAGCGCCCGGGCCCCTCGGCCCCTCCGGCACCTCAGGCTTCCACCGCCCACCCGGCCCGCCCGGCCGCACTCACCCTCCTTGGCTTTCTTCCTCCGGGCCAGGGTCCCTCCGAGTTTCCCCAAGAAGGAGTCATCTTTCTTGCGGGACGGGGGCGACTTGGGAGTAGGGGACTTGGGGACAGAAGGCGACTTCTGCGGGGAGGTGGCCATGGTGCGGCGCAGGCAGCCGCAGGCCGGCCGGGACGCGGAGCTAGCGCTGGGCTGACGCGGCGGGCGGCGGCGGGACTGAGGCTGCGGCTTTCCAAACGGAAGCGGAATTATTCCAAGCATTTGAGGCAGCTCACGCTCGCCTTTCCCTTCCCTCGCTCCCTCCCTCGCTCCCTCCCTCGCGCCGCCCTCTGCCCTGGAAGGAGCTGCGCTCCGGGGGCTGCACCCTGCGCCCCTGGCCTGCCCCAAGCAGGGAGGATGCCCCAAAACTGTCCCTCGCAGGACACGAGGCCGTGTGTGCTCAGTTCGGGAGCGCTCGAAGCGGAAAGCTTCATTCACCCAGGCTCTGCACCCACCACACAGCCTGGCGCAAAGCAGATCTGAGAACCAACCCAACCCTGTTACTGCCCCAGGGCCTTCCAGCCGGGCTGGCTCTTCCCCAGCACTGCTGCCTGTGGGGTTATCAGACCCACGTCTTGTGCCCACTAGACGCAGCTCCTGGAAGAAATTATTGGAGTGAACCGAAATGTGTCCAGGCCCCACCAAAGTGGGCACAACCAATCACTCTTGAACCTATCCATGACCGCCAACCTCTTATCCCATCCAAGACTGAGAAACTTGGAGAGCACAAGGATGGAGCCAAGGTTTCTTACTCTTGTAAGACATCCGTGTTTCTAGCAGCTCAGTGGCTTATACAAAGGAAGATCCCACATGGTGGCAGAAACATGAATGGGAAAGGCAAAACCATAAGCTCCTACAGGACCTTCCCCCAAATTTACCCTGCCTAAGTAAAAGCAAGAGAGTGACAACCAGACTCTGGAGATAACAGGGGAGTAACACAAAGTGCAGTGTTGGCAGGACTCATACTGGAATGATTGAAAAGGCATGTTATTTATTGTGCCTGCGCACCTCAAGTTCTCACTTGGGCTCTTTGTCCCTCTGTCTCTCTCTCACACACACAGACTCACAGCGCCTTGGCAACTGTTTCCTCCTTGTGGCCCCTTCCCTCTAGGCTACAGCTGATTGAACCTGGGTGAACACCTGAGCCAAAGGGCGCTACTGCTTTCCTGGAGAGCAGCCTATCAGCTAGCCCCACTTAAGACTGTGCCCTAAGCTGGGGAGACTGTTGTCAGAATGTCCACGTGACTGATGATCATTCGCAGTCAAGACTGGGGTCGCTGTTTCTAGCCACGTGCATGCTAACTAGTAGGGAAACAAAACAAAACAAAACAAAAATGGAACGAAGAAGTGTGCTCAGGAAGCCACGTGGTCTGAGGAATGGAAACCATGGGGAGTAACTGCCTGGACCTTGAATCTTTTCCCAGACCCCACTCTCGCTTCCTGTCAGGGCCAGCTGCAATTCCTTCCCAGAAGATGTTACTCAGCCTTTTATTAACCCATCCACCTTTCCTTAGACTAAATAAACTGACAAGCAGCAGTTCCTGAGTAGAACTAAAATTTAATCAACAAAATAGTCAGTAGGTTCTCAACACTGTATAGGTTCATTTTATCTTTGCTTGAGAGCCATAATTTTACTTTTTTTTTTAATTTTAATTCTACTTTAGTTGGTGCCTCTTACCTAGAAGCAGAGAAGTCATGATGTCTGCTAGCCTGGGAAGATTACTACAACTCCTCCCAGCCAATAAATCTTAAAGGGATGGTGAGAAGCCAAAATAGAACTGTGTTTTGATTACAACATTAATCATTTTTGTTCAGGATATCAGATATAGGACATCTTCAAAAGCTTATCTCCAGCCCCGGGAGCTCTTGTCAGGGAATTAAGAGACACGTAGCTCAGTAGCTGTGTGATCTTGAGAAGGTTTACTCCCTTTTCTGAGTCTCCGTTTCCTCATCTACAAAATGAAATGGTTGGTACAGAATGGTGGTTCTCAAACTCGATTGTGCATCACAGTCCCCTAGGACTTTGTTACATTCACAGGCCCCATCTCCAGAAATCCTGATTCAGTAGATCTCAGGCGAAACCAAGGGGTAGGTATGTTTTAAACAGACTACATCAGGTAATTTCAATGTACTAATAGCTGATTCACATACTGATGTCTTGCCACTTAGGGCTACTTTCAGCTCTAACAGTCTGTGGTTCTCTCTTCTTTCAAAAATTGCTAATATCTGTATGCAAGGCTTAGTCCTAAATGTGGCATAATCAAATTACCCTTGGAGATGCCTTCAATTGCCCATGCATGCTTTTGCATATATAATACTCCTCAGTAATTGTTATGTATACTAACTTTGAAAGCCACTGAGCAACGTTAAATGGAAGAATAAAGTCTTGATTGTTGACTGGTAGCTCCCAGAAAATATCAGCAAAAATAAGCTGTGGAAGAAGGCAAAGCTGCTTTTTTTGTACACCATGATAAGGAGAGCCCTGCCTTGCCAGAGTCTTAGTAGCATCTTGGAGTGGGGGAAGGCAAAGGAGGGATATTTATAAGGTTTTAGAATCTTGATTAAGACAGGCCTTTCAGTGTGGTGGTGCTTGATTAAGTTTGACTAAGGATCATGATATAATAGTTTAGGACTGGTAGACTCGAAACAAAGCTTTCCTAGAGTCTTGCAGAGTAAATAGTCTTTTTAATGCTATCTATTAAAAAGTCTAATGGGTTTATGTTCATCTCAATGAAATTTGGGGGCGAGTTATTGAAAAGAATAAGAACGTTATTCATAACTTTTATCTTCCTGGGCAAGAAATTTTTGGAAGATAGACGGGAACGATCAAGACCTGTTAATGTACGCAGTAACCTGCATTGGTGTGAATGGTTTGCAAGGCCTCAATATTATGCCAATATCTTGTTATTCAAGCATTTCTATGTGTGAGATCATTATCAATCTCTTTGGAAAGACCAGTAGGAATGGGTGATGAATCATAAATCAGTGCTGCTCACAGCTTACTCTGCAAACCGTTATTGATCTGAATACCGTTATTAGCCAATGATAAATGTAGAAATTAAGAGCTTTTAGAAACTTTATAGCAATTTAACAACCTTATGTCTGTTTAATCTAATAATGAGAATCAGAAGCTTATATTTTGAATATCTTTACATTCAATTTTGCTAGTAATTTTTATTTTTATTTTATTTACAAAAATATTGCTCTGCGATGAATTGGTCCTTTAGCAGAGATTGCTTGAGAAGCTGTGTTCTACATTGTTCCTGTTTACTTACAGAGTTCATCTACTCACTTTTGATATGCTTTTAGAATCCTTAAGAATGTGAATTGATCTGGTTTTTGTTTGGAAGATTAAATGAGATAATCTATGGGAAAGCACCATCTCTGGGTCTGGCACTGAAGTCGACTGAATCTAAGTCTTACTTAGTCAGAGACATGCTGCATGCTGTTCTTGGATAAGATGAGGAGAAGACCTTGTACCAGCTTCCTCCAATCTAATTGGTATTTACAATTATGTCCCCACCGAACAGCAGCCCTGTTCATGCTTGGTCATTGTTTTCATCTTACACAAGGGGTTAGATTATAAGGACAGATCATCAATTAAATGTGTGTTATGTGAGACTCTGCTGAATCTCTAGGCAGCCTCTTCTTGAAACTGGGGCCTAGACACACCACACTGGAAGAGAATAAACTCAGGTTCCAATCTTAGCTCAGCAGCCAGGTGATCTTGGATAAATCTCTTCCCTTGCTGCATTAATTTTTCCCATCATGTATAAAATGAAGCCAAGGCAGTACCAAGTAAAGCCAACCATCATACATACCTTATGATCAGCAATTTCAATTATAGGTTATACCCAACAAAAATGAGTACCTGTTTACACCCAGATACAGGCTCTAGAAAGTTCACAGAAGCACCATTCAAGTGCCTGTTAACAGCTGAATTGATGAATTGTGATAGTCACAGCAATGAGAGTGAACAATTTGCAACTACAGGCACAACAGGAATGTATCTCACAATATAACGTTGAGCGAAAGAAACCAGACACAAAAGAGCACATAATGTATAATTCTATTTACATAAAGTTCACAAACAGGCAAAACTACTCCATAATGTTAGAAGTCAGGATATTGATTAGCCTTGGACGGGTTAGTGACTAGAATGGGGTGGGCAGCATGAGGAAGACCACTAGAGTTGGTCATGTTCTGTTTCCTGATCTGTGTACTGGTTACATGGATATATTCACTTTTAAAATCCAATGGGGCATACACTTAGTACTTTCAGCATGCATTTTCTGTATATATTTTATACTTCAATAAAAATCTACTGCTGGGCATGGTGGCTCACACCTGTAATCCCAGCACTTTGAGAGGCCAAGGGGGGTGGATCACGTGAGTTCGGAGTTCAAAGCCAGCCTGGAAAACATGCAAAAACCTGTCTCTACAAAAAATACAAAAATTAGCCAGGTATGGTGGTGTGCACCTGTAGTCCCAGCTAATCAGGAGGCTGAGTTGTAAAGATGGCTTGAGCCAAGGAGGCAAAGTCTGCAGGGAGCCGATATTGGACCACTGCACTCCAGGCTGGGCAACAGAGCCAGACCCTGACTCAAAAACAAACAAACAAAAATTATGAACTTATCACAAACATGATTAATTTTTCAAAATGAAGCCATGGGACTATAGGTTTCACTTTGTAAAATGAAGCCATGGGAGTGTAGGATTTCTTTTATGTCTAGTCTCCTCCAAATCCCTGGGTGGCCCATGTTACTCAAAACTTCATAGTTCAGGCTGGGCATGGTGGTTCATACCTGTAATCCCAGCATTTTGGGAGGCCAACGTGAGCAGATCACCTGAGGTCAGGAGTTCAAGATAGGCCTGACCAACATGGAGAAACCCCATCTCTACTAAAAATACACACAAAAAAATTAGCCAGGCATGGTGGTGCATGCCTGTAATCCCAGCTACTCGGGAGGCTGAGGAATGAGAGTCACTTGAACCCAGGGGGCAGATGTTGCAGTTAGCCAAGATTGTACCATTGCACTCCAGCATGGGCAACAAGAACAAAACTCTTGACACCAAAAAAAAAAAAAAAAAAAAAAAAAAAAAAAATAATAAAAAAAAAAAAAAAAAAAAAAAAAAAAAAAAAAGCTAGGCCAGTCCTGTCCCCAGCCTTTTTCTTAGGCAATTACATTTCTAGCTAAACCCGTGCTGCTGTCAGCCACCCAGCAGCTTTCCTATCCCAGTCCTGTCATCTTTCTTCTATAATGCCAACAGTCAGGCTGTGTGATGTACAAGGGAGGATCATGTAGTGGTGAAGCATATGGGTTCAAATCACCATTCTATAGCCAAAGCTGTATAATCCTGTGCAAGTTGTTTAACCTTGTTGTTGCATCAGTTTTATCATAAAATGAGTATTTTCCTGATGAGGTTGTTGAGAGGACCAAGAGAATGAGAATAAATAAGCAACTCAGCTCAATGCCTGGCAGATGATAAGATCTGAATTTAAGAAATATTGGCTATTAGTATCTCATTTGAGACTCATACATGGTGTTATCATCACGGCCATTTTATGGACAAGTTATCTGAAACCCAGAATGTAAATTATGGGCTACAGATCACAAGTAGCCAATAATGAGAGAGAGACTAATACTTCAGCTTTTAGAATCTGTTCTCCCAAATATCTAAAGAATCCATACTTTTTTTCTTTTTTTTTGAGAGAGTCTCACTCTTGTCACCCAGGCTGGAGTGTAATGGTGTGATCTTGGCTCATTACAGCCTCCGGAGGGGAGCCTGTCACTTTGGGCTCACTTTTCCCTTAGGGATATCTGCTAATTTAGATAAAGCAGTCAGAGAAGGAGAAAAGTTATAACAACCTAACAAGGACAAGTAGAAAAAAGCTCAGGTACCACCCAAATCGGGGGACTTCTAGCAAGCCCTCCAAAAGAGTCCACTTGGCTGGTGCAATGACTCATGCTTGTAATTCCTGCACTTTGGGAGGCCAAAGTGGGAGGATCATTTGAGACCAGAAGTTCCAGACCAGCCAGCCAACCTAGCAAGACCACCCCTGACCTTCTCTACCAGAAAAAAAGAAAAAAATTAGCAAAGTATAGCGGTGCACACCTGTAGTCCCAGCTACTCCAAAGGTTGAGGTGGGAGGATCTCTTGAGCCCAGGTGTTCAAGGCTGCAGTGAGCTATGATCACGCCACTGAGCACCTGGGCAACAGAGCAAGACTCCATTTCTAAAAAACAAATGAACAAACCCAGAAGAGCCTAACCTAGCAGACAAGGAGATCATAAAAATATTTTCAGTTAAAAAAACCCAACTGAGAAAAATTGTTAATAGTTGATCCAAACAAGAGGAAATAATGAAGTATATGGCAGAAGGAAAAACATCTCAAGTGACAGCTTGGTGACACAGGCAAGAGTAAAGAACAAAGGGTAAATATATGTAAGCCGTAAAGCCTACTCACTATACAGAACAACAGAAATAATACAGGATTTAAAAATATAAATCAAATTAAAATACACAAAAGCAGAAGCATTAAAATTGGGAAGTCAATAAATGGAGTTAAGTGTTTTAAGATCCAGGCATTGTCTAGGAAGAAGTGATTTCTACTGGACTCTGATAAATCAAGGATCATGTTGTAATCTCCAGAGTAACAATTAAAGGGATAATAAAAGAGTAACTATAAGTACCAAGATAATGGAAAGAAAATTGGAGTCTAGATACTTCATTCAGATTTTATAAATTACATGTGTTCTATATCTGTCATATAGAAGGAAGCTTTTCTTTTGTATTCTGTTTTATTTATTTTTCTAGGTTGCTTTTTATTGAATAGCTTAAAACCCAAGATATAGGTAAACTAATCATATCAAAGCAAATTAAGGCAAAACTCAAACCCAAGGTGGCTTTCTCTAGGAAAAGATATCCTTCCTAAATGTGAAGGCCTTCTGTTATGGTTTGAATTGTGTCCCCTAAAAAGGACATAGTACTTCAGAATGGGACCCTGTTTGGAAGTAGAGCCATTGCCAGGGGAATAGTTGCTAAAAATTGTATTTTAGGTCATACTGGAATATGGTGGGCACCTAATCCAATGAGACTGGTATTTTTATGAGAAGAGGAAAATTCGGACACAGACATGCACAGAGGGGATGTGATACAAAGATACAGGAAGAAGATAGCCACTGGATTGATGCAGCCACAAGCCAAGGGATGCCTGGGACATCCTCGAGGAAGCTGGAGGAGGCGAGGAAGAATCTTCCCTTAGAGTCTCAGAGGGAACTTGGCTCAGCAGACACCTTAATTTTGAATTTCTAGCCTGCAGGACTGGGAGGTAATGCATTTCTGCTGTTTTAAACCCGCTGTACTTGGTGGCAGCAGCCCTAGGAGACTCTCAGTCTTCCAGATCACACTGACCTCGGAAAGGATGAGGGAGATGAAAATCAAGACCTTGGGTGTAATCTCAGTGGCCTGGGGCATAGACCACACACCATCAAAGGGACAAAATGGCATCCCCTGCAGATCAAGATGAGGGTTTTACAAAAGCTCTGGATCCCAATCAATAATCAGAATTATTTGACCACAGCAAAGCAGGAGTGGAAAAAGAGAAGCCAGCCAGAGCCTCTTGGGGATCTCTTTGATCACTGCAAGCAAGGTGTGCTTTTAGGATGAAAGGAATGCATGAGAGATGAAATGCCTGTGGAGTGGGGGTCTTAAGGGAGAAGCCTCATTGCACGTCATTGCACATCCCCCTTGGGAACTCTGGGATATTAGCGGTGGCCTTTGAAGGTCAGCCTGCCTATGAGCATGTCCTCCAGGAGTTCTACCCTTCTGGTAAAGGCTGTCAGGTGGCAGAGATGGAATGGGAGAATAGGACTTCTCTTGGTGGGCAGCGAAGTCACAGGACAGAGTGAGTTGGGCAACCTCTGCCTTAGTTGGTAGCATGGTGGACTGAGGGCAGGGCTGTTTCTGAGGATCACACAGGATGATGCCACTCAAATAACCTCTGATTCAGCCATGGGGGAATGTATCCAAAGTTCTTTGAGACAGATGACCTGCTCACCTACCCATCAGGGGTAATAATGAACTACAGACAGAGGCGGAGAGATTTTCTCACCTGAGCATGACAGCTGAGGGCCAGCTGCAAAAGTGATGCCTGAAAATCAGCAGTTCCTTCTTGGGTTATCTAACAGAGGAATGAAGAACACACAGGGGAACAAGAGCACAGAAACACTTTTAAAGACAGAAAGCAGTAGGTATGAGCCACTGCAGACCCAGCCAGGCAGGGGGGAATACCTGGGGCCCCAGTGATTATACTGGTGTGTGGTCCATGTCCCAGGCCACTGAGATTACACCCGAAGTCTTGATTTTCCTCTCCCCAATTCTTTCCTAGGTCAGTGTGATCTGGAGGAGTGAGAGACTCCGCTTCCATCTTTGTTGGGGGAGACATTAAAGCTATTCATACAATGGATGTTTCCTTTTAGGGAGGAAGGTTAGAAGTATCATCCCTGACAACGAAATGGAACCAATCACCAAGGCCAGATGGCATCTCCCAGAAACATTAATGGGTATACTTGAAGGAGTATTGGCCAAAGAGCTGTGCAAGGGGCTGGACATCTGGTCAGCAGAGGACAGTTCAAAGAGATGGTCCCCAAAGAGATTCCACAAGCACTCTGGTGAGTCAGACAAAAGCAGAGAGGTGACAGAGCTTTGGTGAGTTTCCTGGCCTAGTTTACCTAGCAGGTGAGAAAAGCTGAGTTCATAGTAGCTGTTACCATTATCAGGGTCAGAGGGACTAGGGGAAGGGTGCTGTGATGTTTGGTTTTGCTTTCATTTATTTCTAAGTGAACTGGCAGAGGGAGTGAGTATGAAATTACCAAGCGTGCCCTGAAGGCTCAGAGATGGTGAGTTGCAGCAATGGCTGAAGAGTCTGCAGCTCTGTAAGCCTGAGAAGGTGAGCTGAGCCCCAGCATGTGCCCAAGGAAAACCTGCAAAGCGCCATCAGAAGTGGCTGTTGCTTGGAGCTCTTTGTTCCACACATTAGTGCTGGTAAAACAGGAGCTCTCCTCTGAAGTTATGTATATTTGTTGTTGATGCTCAATGGAAAAATCATTTCAAATATTTGATCCGCAGACAAAAGCTTTCAAACAAAGGGGGCACCTTCGTGTGTAATGATGAGAGCTCTTGGGACTGACGGGTTGATTAATGTGATGTGGCAGTTCTGGTGTATCCTGCACTCACAGTTTAAGAATATTCATGTGCTGGAGTTAAGAAAAGAGGTAAAACGAACAAACTGAAAGGGTGTAACTTGAAGGAAGAGGCTAGTTCTGTGCAGAAGGAAACGTTCCTGTTGAGTGAATTCAATACAAAACCAGGTAAGAAGGTGAGAGAAAGGTGGAGGCTGGGGCTACCATAAGCCTCATCCCTCCCCTTTCCCAGCCCTGAAAATAGCTTTCTTTGTTGAAGAATACACCTGAGGTGAGCCTTCTTCACTCATCCTCCCATTCAAATCCAATTTGCTACTCAGGTAAGTCCTTCCAGGTGCCTTGTGGTAATAAAACCTCCCGGGTTAATTCACAGACTCTCACAGAAAATCAAAGCTCTGCCCAGGCTCTTTCACCGAGAATAAAGAAATGAAATGGATGCTGCCCTCAGAGGTGCCAGACCAAGCCCACATGAAAATGTTTTGATTCCTGGGACACAAAACCATTTATTTTTGGTTCATTTCAGTATCTATAGCAGTGCACAAATAACACATTTCCATCCACATGAATAGTTTCCAATTGTTGGAGCAAATTAATCTTTTACAAGCTACTCAGCAGTGAGGTTAGAAGATAAACAGCAGATGAAATCGTACACTTTCCCCTGTATGTGAACTTTCTTATTACAATAAACTCCCACATTTGAGCTCACCACATCCAATGACTGCTGCTCTCTGTTGATGTGGCAGCCCCAGCTGCCCCCTGCCACCTCTGCCCTGCTGAGGTAGTTCTCTGATCAACCACCTGGGTGGGGCATGATGCCATTTTCAGTTTGGAAGGAAAAGCCTGTAAATCTGCTTCCTGGGAAGAGAGACACTGCTGAATTGTCATTTGCCTCCAGAATGCAGAAAACATCAATTTCATTGCAGCTCATCAGGGTTGGAAACACCTGCCACTTCCTTTCTCAGCTGCAATTAACATGCTGCATCTTGGCATTGATTGAGTCCAAGCAGCCTAACACTGCCAAAGTCTAGGTTTAAATGAAACAGTACAACCTGATATTATTTTTCACAGTTTCAAAAACACAAACTTATTTTTATTGCCAAAGAAGCACTGTGATCATGGGGAATATGCCTTTATGCTTGAGATAAGCATGAGCAGAATAGGTGATGCTTATAATAAAAATAGCTTTCATCTTTGTATTTGGGGATGGTACTTATTTCTTGATCTGTGTATTTATTTGGAGTCCACCTCCAAATAAATACAAAGATCAAGACTTTATTAATTAAGGAGTAATATTCTTTCTGTATCTCAGCATCTGGTACAGGGCCGCAGAACCCCATGGGCATTCAGAGGATGTTAAATAAATAGACACATAAATGGTTTGGGACAGCAAGCTTAAGAACTGTCCTTTTGGCCCAACTTAGGTAAAATTCTGACCTTACAACTATCATAAACACTTTGATTTAACTTAGAAGTGTACGAGACTGACTGTGAAAGATGACCTGAGGCTAGGCCTTCTGTCCCATTCAAAGTCCTAAATAATTCGGCCTTGATCACATTCACTAGTGCCCTTTTATGGGGCAGTGCAGACTCTGCATTCATCATAATCCTACTCATATTGTATACAAAGAAACTCTTCAAAATGTACAATATTTTACATTTTGAGAGTCTTAGAACACTCTTGTAAATAAGGAATGGAATCATTTCAGATAGTTCAACAGAAACAATATTTGTTTCCACTGGATATGCTGAAATGGTTTTATGTACTAGTAAAACAGAAAAAACAGAAAGCCAGTGTATGTAGAAAACTGTTAAGGATGAGGTTTATGTTTTAAGTTGGCCAGATAAAACTGAGCCGTAAACCACAGAGCACAGTCTGTGAAATAAAGTGAACAAATTGCTTCTCTCATCTATTAACAGAACACTAGGGGCCAAGAACCACCTTCTCTTTCAGCCCTCTTGGTAGACTCATTCTTAGGGATGGAAATAAAGGAAATTAAAATAAGTGGCCATTAATTCTTGTTCACAATAACAACTCAAACATGACACACTTGAGCATGATCTATTAAATGTATGCAAGCATCAAAGGATGTACTTTTATGCAATGGACAGAAAAGACTGGGGCCTGAATATTACTGCATATTCTAGAATGAAAACTGAAGTTATAAATCTTTTTCTTCTAATGAGTTGATATTCCTGTGCATCCATAATCTTACCTCTAAATGCCTGATAGGTCTTTTCCAAATTATAACACCTGAAAACCTGAATTATGAGGAAATCATATTATCAATTCTCACCAATATACAAATAAATAAAAATAGATATCCAGAAATGGTACTGTTTTCATAGGTGGGTAGGAAGGTAGATGCCTCCTCATATTGCCTAATAATAGAATTAAGGCACTGGAAGAACTGATTCTTATTTTAAAAAAAAAAAAAGGAAGAAAGGAAAGAAAAGAAAAAAGAACTACAACCTTTGGAGCTTGGTATAGCATAGAAAGATTGTGCTTAAATATAGCCCAAAGCGTTGGCTGACTCAGGAAATCCAGTTATACATCTGCTTGTCTGCTGGCCAGATTGGTGTGCGCAGAGAGCATCTCCGACAGAAGCAGTTCACGGATCAACTTGAGAGAAATTTGGTCTCCAGTCAGAGCCAACTGTTGTAGAGCACCTTTTGTCTAATGACACATTGAAACACTTGCCGAAATGAGAGCAGCCAAATATACAACCAAGAGTTCTTTAGTGTTTCTCTTATCAATAACAGACTAAATCTTCAAAGAATCCCAGTCAGCAAAAACAATCAAATGTTTTATGACAACACATCACCATATTAAATCTTCTCTTCTTTGGCCCCCATGGGAACCGTCAAAATGCTCCAGGAATTCTAACAACTCAGGACAGAAACTCCATCTTCCAGTTTTCTTTTCAAACTGAAATGTCATTAAAAAAATCCATGACCCAGTTTGGGATGTGGTATATAGGGTCACTGCATTCAGCTCTCCCTCTAAGTCAGAAGTGATTTTGTCCTTGCTCTGTAGAGTTCCTGGGGAGAGGGAGAGATACTTCCCTCTCCGAGTCTAAGAAGACCACCAGCAAGAAGTGTTCCTTCTCTTGTACCCTAGCATGTTCAGTTTCAGTAGCAGCACCAACCTCATGAATATTTTATCAACAAATAAAATAAGTTCCCTTTTTTTTTTTTGCCATCATCAACACTTATTTTAAAGTACTTTAAAATTATTCTTTTCTGAAAATGCTTTTTATTATTTTCCAGGGGGGCATAAAAACAGTAGCATGGGGACAAAAAGGTTTTCTAAGCCAGCAGTGTTTGGTGAACACTAACAATCCCACTGGCATAAAGTTAAAGTTTTATTTCCTTTCCTCTTAAAATAAAGGCTCAAATGTTCCATTAAGCTCTCATTGCTTATGTATATTATATTAAGGCTTACAAATGCACCTGGTAAATTAAATTCACCCTGGATTGAATTAACACCTGCTATATGAGTTATTTGTTTTATGTAATCAGTAATCTCAAGGTTTCTCCTCTTTCTCTGGAAACACAATTTAAATATTAACCTAATCTTTAAACTGTGGCTGCTTCTTTCTGACATTTGGAAACCGGTCATCCATATAAAAAAGGCAAATATGGATATATTAGTGGAAAGGCAGCTTCTCAAAAATCTTAAAGTATGTAACTCAATGAATTGGGAAGAAAAATGATAAAAGCAACAGGAAAGTCAAGTCTTTGTGTCACTTTCTAGGGAAAACAATGCTGGTCATTTGCCAACAACACCTCCAGTCTGAGAGCCTGGCTGAAGCTGACTGCCAATTTCCAAAGAGTCTTTGGGTTCTCTTCATTATAATCTGGAAGGACCATGGGAAGGTGCTGTGCGTGCAAGAGAATTTTAATTTTAACAAATGCACTAAGGTGTAACTTAAGTTCCAGCGATGATTAATCCTGCAGAAGGACCCGTGAGGGTATGCGGTGCACTTGGCCTGATCCGGTCCCAGCTTGCAGCCAGGGAGAGGGATCATGAGCCTCCTCAAGTCCTGCTCAGCTGACAGCGGCTGGAGAATATGAAGCTTTCAAAGTGCTGGTCCTCTGCTTTTTCTCTGACACGTTGTTCCTCTAAGGAATTTACAAGTTTGTCCCTTTGCGTAATCACTTGCATCAGCTCGGTGAATATTTCTTGCTCTTCATTTAGATCCTTCTCATCTTTCTGGCTCTCTAAAGAAAAAAAAGAAAAACACTGGGCTCAGAGAAGATTGGGCCCCAGGAGAGTTCTTGGCATGGACATTCTCGATTGTTGTGGACTTGTTCTGCCTTTTAATTTTAATGGAGAAAACAAGGAAATGAATTTAACACCAAGGAACCGCCTTTAAAGCCAGAGAGAAGAAAAGTGGGTGCAGTGAACTAGTTCACTCAGTTTTCATCTTGAAGATATGTACAAAGCGACAGTGAAAATCCCTTTGTAAGAAAAAGAACTTAATACCAGCCAAGCCCTATCAGGTCCCCCAACCTTCTCTCTACCCAGAAGAGAAACCATCAAAACAACAAAAAGGTGGTTTCCATAAACATGTCTGAGCGACAGCAAAGAAATCTGTGAGAAGTTTCTAATAAACCATCTATCTGCACCAGGGGCTACTGTTTCAATGACCAGAATCTTTTTTATTTTTCTGAGACAGAGTCTCGCTCTGTTGCCCTGGCTGTAGCGCAGTGGCATGGCCTCGGCTCACTGAAACCTCCGCCTCCTGGATTCAAGTGATTCTCCTGCCTTAGCCTCCCGAGTAGCTAGGAGTATAGGTGCCTGCCACCAAGCCTGGCTAATTTTTTTGTATTTTTAGTAGAGATGAGGTTTCATCATGTTGGCCAGGCTGGTCTCGAACCCCTGATCTCATGATCTGCCCACCTCAGTTTCCCAAAGTGCTAGAATTATAGTTATGAGCCACTGTTCCCCGCCAGAATCTCTTTTTACCTGTAGTTAATGACAAACTGTAGCCTTTTGTGTAGGGACCACAGGGAAGCAAAGTGAGGCTACAGACAGGAAGGTGTTTCCACACTGACTCTGCTTTTCCCTTTATCTTCGCTAGTACCTGACCTTGATAATTGGCCTGAGGCATTCAGTTGCCTGGGGGAGAGAGGATTGTTAGAAGATAAAAGGAGAATAGGAAACAAGTAGTAATGAGCTTTGGACACAGAAAATAGGAATTTGAAGCCAGATTTAAGTCTTGTCAAGCAGATGATTGCCTTGGGAGAGACCTTTCTAAATTCCTAGAGCCTCTCTGTCTAACACATGGAGGACTGGGTGGGAAGCTCCATCCCAGAGTACAGAGGGTGCCACTGTCCCTTGTCAGGCTTAGCTCCGAGGTCTGGGCCAGGAAGCAGGTAGATCTGATGAAAGGGAGACAAAGAAGCACTATCCCTTGTACCTCAAGATTTAAGCAGAGAAGGGAGAGGCAGGAGGGGCAGAGGCACGTTCGATCTCTCCGTCTGGGCCTTGGAAGCCCCAAAGGGGGCAGGAAATGTCATATCTCATTTGATGGGAACAGTGGAGGAGGGAGGTGGATGGGGGAGGGAGGTGGATGGGCAAAGGACTCTTGCCCTGCCCTTGTTCAGAATTCTGGAAAGAAGCCAGCCTAAAGGGCATCCTTATGTATAAACATAAGACAGTACTTCATGATTGGGCAGAGAAGAAGGGTCTGAGTGTGGCCCCCCAGATCTCGGTGTGCTGTATGTGGCATGGGTGGAGCCTAGAAGCGTCCACTTGCCCCACTGCTGCCAAAGACAGCTGGCTGGTGGACCTGCCACAGGGCTCCCCTGTGGAGCAAAGTGACCCCACAGGAGACACTGTCTGGCGGTGCTGAATGGAGGATGTGCTGAGGTGAGGCTGGGTGAGCCAGGAATGCCCGCAGGCTCCCAGGCATGCCGAGAGCGTGGCCAGACTACAGATGACACCAGCACACACCTCAGCTGTGGATGCCAGCAGAGAGAGTTGCAGCCCAATGATGGTGGATGCTGTGTGGGGACTCAATGAGCAGAGCCGGCCACACGGATTCCTAATGCTACAAGGTTATACAGACCTGCCTCTTCCCATTACCTGCCAGTCACGCTAGGGAGAGATGCAGAAAGGAGGGGTGGCATCTTCAAGACTGCACATTTTCATCCCAAAGAGACTGAGCATCTCCTACAAGGACTGTTTAAGTTATTGCATCAGATTAAGTTTACCCATAGAGGGATAAAGAGTTCCTATTTTTTTCCTTGCTAATTAGTGGGAGGAAGCATATGCAGAAGATGAGCTCCGGTACAGACAGAAGAAAGAAACTACATTTTTTGGATACATCTGAGAGGAGTGAGCAAAACGTATGACCTTTACTCCTTAGTAAAAAATTTTTTAAAAAGAATCAAAGGTGGCATATAGTCTTTGGTGGTATTTATTTACTATCCTTAAACAGAACAAATTAAACTCTTCAGATATATAAATCTGATATTAGTTAGACCCTAGGTTTATTAAATTAGATATATTCTAATTAACTGAGGATTACTGCTCAGTTAATAAACAGCACAGAAAAAAAAATCCTCTCTCTGTCTAGGCTTGTTGCGGATGGACCCATCGGAGCCCCTTCTGACATATGAAAGATGATTTATACCACTTTAGTCTGCACAGGGCTGCTGCGTAAGGATTTTGTTAGAATTCTGTTGCTATAAAGAAACGGTCTGCAAATCAATGCCATATGGGAAAGGACAGGAGACCCTGATCTGTGATCTATTCCTAAATCTTAGCACTACCATTTACCTTGTGCACATTATTTAAGTTCTCTGAGACTCAGTTTTCTAATTTGTAAACTGAGTGCAAAAACACCTAAATAAAAATAAGTGATAATGATGCCTAATATTTGCTAAGTACTTGCTCTATACTGGACAACCTCATAAGGTAGGTGCAGTGTTAGTTCCATGAGGTATAGACCTTCTTTAAGTTGTTCTTTTAGATCTAGGACTGAATATAGGAAGGTCATGCATGGATCTGGCGCCACAAACACACGGGCACAAAACAGAGTGAATATGCCTCTGGCGGGAACTAATAAATGCATACAGCAGTAACAGCCATATATCTCCACCCTCCCTCCTTCCTGTGGGAATCGTTTTCTCATGTGTAATGCCCTGGCCCTGCCTAATGCTGGGAGAGAATGTTTCCTCTACCAGCTCTAGTGTCTGGCAGCACTGGGCCCACCTTTCCCTGTGATCCCGAAGCCCTTCTGTTGTGGCCTTCATCTCACTGAACTAGCATTACTGGTCTGGGGGTGTTAGTCTTCCCAGTGAGACCACAAAGTCCTACAGGGCAGGGGTTGCTCTTTACCCCATCCAGGCCCATAGTTCCCAGTAAATGTGTGTTAAATGAATGGGTGGATCCGTGAATGAATAAGTGAACATAGGACTGTGTTCCTACTGCCACATGGGATGGGGAAAACACTGCCATCACAGCCCAAGTGAAGGAGGCTAAACGGGGCTTGTGGTGCTGGTGGGGGCAGAAGGCAGGCTGGCTTTTGACCTTCCTCTGACTCGCAGGCTGGCAGGAAGAGCGCCCCGCTCTGGGATTTGCAGCACGCTCTGCTCAAGAACCTTTCTGGGGGAAAGTGTTCCAAACAAGGGCCCAGGACATCAGCATACTCACCCTCCTTGAGCATTTTCTCTCTCAGTTTCTGCTCCAGTCTGCTTTGATGGTCTTCTAATTCTAGTTCCTGGGCCCTGGTTATGAGAAAATGTTCTGACTTTATTACTAGAGATTTGTGAGGAAACAGTGCTGAATAAGCCCATTGAGAGTAGCTATAGCTTTCTTTTTTCTTTATTAAAATTGGAGTCTTAGCCTATCTTTGTTTTTTATTATAATTATTATTATTTTTGAGGCCAAGTCTTATTCTGTTGTCCAGGCTGGAGTGCAGTGGTGCCATCTCAGCTCACTGCAACTTTTGCCTCCACGGTTCAAGTGATTCTCCTGCTTCAGCCTCCTGGGTAGCTGGGATTACAGGCGTGCACCACCCTGCCCAGCTGATTTTTTTTTTTTTTTTTTTT